GAGGCCTACTTTTCGAAAAATCTACCCTCTTGACCTGTCCTCTCGAAAACTACACGTCAACTTTTTGAGATATTGTTAGTCCACAATCTACTCGACTAGTACTACAAAAGCCCTCAGCTCTTGACTTTACATAGAAATCCGACCACAATCCTGGATTCCTCATTAACATTATATCATCTCGAATTCAAGATGTTCATAGATTTTTCGAAAAGTAGGCCTCACAGTTACCGTGAAGAAAGATAACGTGCTGGAGACTTGCTTCTTGCGCTCTTGGCTTCAAGCTTGGAAGCCGCTTTCGTTTGGTCATAGATAAAGTTATAGTTGATTAAACTTTGAGTTAATTATACACTTTATAAAATGAGCGATCTTGTCCAAAGTAGGTAAGGCCCCGGCTCAAAATGTTTTTCGAAATGCCAAAGGTTAAAATCTAATTTGCAGCTGATAATATACAACCTTTTACGTTTTATCCAATTGTGCCGTCAAAAAAGTTTTAATATCAATGCTTAAAAGAAAACTCAGGCGTTCCTTTTCCTCAGACTTTCTGATCACTTTTTCGACATGTTTCACATAATATCTAAGAGAAAAAAAGGTGGATTTACACACAACTCGAAGAGCTCTACAAGACAGGCATAGTGAGATTTTGCCAGATAAAAGGTATGTATAAAGTGGGCAGATAATTTTTTCAAACCTTTTTGACTCTCATTATTTATATTTCTTTTCGCCTATGCCATACGACACATCAATCTTATTATAGTAGAAACAATTACATAAGTAAACTTCTATCGCATATCCCATACTGATATTGAAAAACCGAAAATGTTTCTGTTGATTTAAGTAAGAACTTGAATCGATCGTACTCGAAACACAAAAACTCAAGTGCGATCGGAGTCTTTCGAAAAAATTTCCAGTCCGGACTTGGACTCACCCAGTCCTGAAAGGGAAATATAATCATATATTCATAATTGGTAGAAAGTAAAGCTATAAGCTTCTCGACAGACTTTGACCCTCAAAAAATTAGAGGAATAGAAACAAAGTTAAAAGGTATGTGTGGTGTACACTATCGCCACGACACACCGTAGCACATGCGCAAGTGTTAAAATTTCATGTTTTGATTTTTACGTATCTCTATCAAAATAATTATTTTATTAAATTCATTTCGTAATGTGGAAAGAAACCGATTGTTGACAGGTGAATAAAAACTTTTCAACAACAATTTGATGATATATAAAACTATTTACAGAAAGAAAACAAAGGGTTACAATAAACAACCGTAACTCAAGATTTTAATGAAATTACTATTACATAAATGTCCATCGACAATATGGCATGCAAAATTGATGTCTGTGTGTGAGAAAATGGTTAAAAATAATGATTAGCTGAGTAAGTTAAGAAAAAGAGTAAAAATATAAATACAAAATTAGAGACCGGCCATCTGTTGTGAATAAAAGGTGATAGATAAATTTTTATGTGCTCTTTTTCATTCAGCCATTTCGAACATGTGGCTTATACGAACAGTTGGTTTCTGTTTGTTTTTCTTGCTCATTTTAACTATTGCACTTGAGCATTATCAGGACATGAAGTTTTTGCTGAAGGTTTTTTTTAAATTGATATACACACCAGAAATGACAAAGTGTCATGAGATTTAGTCAACTGATCTCATTGTTACGCAGCAAAGTAGTGCAAAAATGAATTCCGACACTATTATCGATAACAACAGTTGGAATTATTTACTAAAAGATAATGATCAATACTATTCAAATTTAAACGTCATAAAACGTCAGTACAGTCATCAGTTGTATCGATAAAATTGGCTTCCAAGAGATAACGAAAACAGTCATTGAGCATGTAACATACGAAAATGAAACTTTTGAAACGTCTTCGATTTAATAATAATCGGTTATGGATAATGCTAAAAACGTACGATATCATTCGTCGTATATGAAATTCTCTCAATTTAGTGTAGAAAATGCATATTCTGTATCTTTAGAGGATAAACTCCACTCTGACGTCTTAACTAGTATAATTTAAAGTATATAAATTTAGAATTAGAATTAGAAATACAAAAATGTTTATTTAGATTATCAGAATTACTAGAGAAAGAAGAATCTATATTCAAATTGTTATTTTCACTTGTATAATAAAGTACTATAAAAATAAAGCTTAACTCTAGAGCCTTCATTTAGATGATAAATTTCAACATACAAATGAATGTACACATGTTCTTTTTATTAATACATTAATACAGGGTGAAAATACTACACATACTACAGTACATTTCATCGTTTTATCGAAATTATTTAATCATCAGACACAAATTATTTTCATACAAAAGAAAATACGACGAACTAATATGTTTCAAGATTGTTGTATCTAATTAGAATTACAAAGAAGAATATCACATTATATTAAGAACTTATTACTATGGTCAACTTAATCAATTAATTTGATCATCAATTCTCCGTTAGTAACATTGTAACATAAAAGTTTTAATTTAAATGAAGGTAAAGTCAGCAATTCATTTAATGATAGTATTTTCTTCGATTTTCTTTGCTGTGAGAATGAATCAATTACAAAAAAAAAAAAATGAAAAATAAACGAAAACAATAATTCCATCACACATATTGATGTGGCAAAAAAATAAAATAAAATAAAATTTCAATAATCAATCAACTATCTAACGTTAATAACACATACTATTAAATAAATAAAAAAAGGATGAGTACGGCGTTCTACAAGCATTTATAACTTTGCTTCAGCAGAATTTGCATCCAATTTTTTGAATAAATATGAAAGAAAGAGAACAATATTAGAAGTGTCATGTATAAAGTTTGTAAAAGAATAAAAGTTAATATTCAGCACTATATGTTGTTGTTTTTTATCGGAAGACTATCCATAATATTTCATAAAGCGTATCAATAAATAATAACGATAAATAAATGAATAACCGGTGTATGTTATTATGGGTATCAAAAGTCCGTAGCAAAATTATTGACAGGTATAGAATTTTGCTGTTGTATAGGTGACAAAGATGATGCTTGTGTATTCATCTTTCGAATATTTTCTGTTATTTGACTTATTGGAGTCGACTCTGTAACTTCAGCTAAAATAGCAAATCATGACTGAATTTTGCTCCAAAAGATTTATGGTATAATGATGTTTGCTCAATAAGAATGAAAATACTAAGTATCTTTTTTTAATGTTAACTCGTTTTTGAGTGCTGAAGGACACACACACTTTATCAATGATGATTAATCATCTGTATACCTCTCGTTTTTAATTTTCTTCTCATCTCTGATGTATCTTCTAAAAAAAAAAAAATCTTCTATACTAGTACACGTTTATTTTTAACAATCTTACTGTTTCTCGTTGATTCTCCAGTTATTTCTTGAAGATATCTGAATGATTTTGATGGAAGTCCGTCGAATTTAATGTCATCTTCATGATCTTCTTCTTCATAGCTTTGCAAGTTAACTTGAGGTTTGGTTATTGACCGTTGCTGTTGTTTGGCTAAAAAGAAAAATTTTCTCATTTTTAACTATAAAATAACAAAAGAACTCAAACACCATTGCTTTTTTCTTCTTGTGTCATCATTTGTAAAAATCGAAATGAGCGTGATGGGATCGTTGATCCGGTGAACTTTGGAGCTTCTGCTTCTCGTTCTCGATGACTAGGAGGGGCTAAATAAAAGATAACATCACTTTGAGATTTACTGGCATTTCACGAATGTTATTAACATACGTTTATTATAAATTTCTATGAGATCATCTCTATTATTCACCGATGATTTATTAACTGGCACTCCCTGTAGTTGTGGATTTGATTCAATATGATCTTGTAAATATCGAAATGATCTTGATGGTACATGATTATCACTTCCTCGACGAAGTCCTGTTCCTGTTTGCTGTTGATCATTTGATGTTATCACTGTGGTAGCTTCTTCTTTAACAGTCGTCGTTGTCGTTCCATTTGACCCATTGGGATATTGATCTTGAAGATAACGAAATGAACGAGATGCTGGTACAGCATTAGTCCCGCTGCCATTACTTCGATGTCGATCATCAGACTGTTCATCTTCAATAGCATGAGTAACTAAATTGTAGAAAAAAAGAATAAATTAAGTCAAAAGTGTGTGAATATCCTATTTCGTATACTTCTTGCTAAATATTCAGGTAAATTTTAACACATTGTAAGCAATAACAGTGAATCTATACGAAGAACAATAATTCTTACCTGATGATTTTGTCAGATTTGCTTGTGGTATTATTTTTTCACTGTCTGATATCCATCCTTGAAGCATTTGAAATGAGCGTGATTGAGTAATGCTAAAATAGAACAGTAATGAAGGTATCAATAATTCAGGGTTTTTATGCATTAAACTTACACATCTGTATCGTGAATAATTTGCTTCTTTGGAGGTGGTGGTGGCGTTGAATTTTGTGTTCGTGCATAACTAAATGGCTGATATCCATTGGGTGGTCCAGATGCTGCATAACGATGGTTCATCGGCTCTTGTGGCACAACACGACGATTCATTATGATCGACGATTGCTGTTTTTGTTGAATTCGATCTTCACTATTCAAATGGTGTTCACGATGTCTAAAATTGATAAATATAAATTATTATTGCTTATTGAACAGTTTAGCAATAGTTCCAATATATTGAAACCATATATGCTACACGTTTAAGACAATTTAAGACTTTTATTACTAATTCTCTCTTTAAAACTATACGCAATCCAAAAATTAAAAAAAAAATTCTATCATTCTCTCCCGTTTACTGATAATATTCACTTTCGCCTTGACTGATAAGAACGAAAATCGAGTATAAAAGTCGCCGAAGAGTTTAGTTTAGTTTAAACAAATTTTCAAGTTCAACAGTGTGTAAGATTTTTCGCGTTTTTCTCCTATTTTAAAATGAAAAATAATCAACAGCGATTTATTAAATTAATATATTCTTTAAATGTATCATTTTTGTACAACAAGAAGATAATAGAGCACTTAAGAGAAGTACATCCACATTTGACTATTAAGAGTCTTTTAAGTTTTATGTTCTAATGAACTTACTCGACATTTTTTGTTCATTCATTTTTTTTTTCCAAAAATATTTTTTTATATCCAACAGTTCGATACATGTTTTACTTTTTATTGAAATTTTTTACATATTTTTCCTTTTCTCTTCCACGTTAGGTATTTTTTTATTTTTACTCGTAAAATTTACCTGTATGTGGACTAAATAAAAGCCCTTGACTATTTTATAGTGTATCAGTAATACTTTGCGCGCGCGAGAGAGAAAGAGAAAGAGGTAGAAAAAGAGTCAAAGAAGAGATAATGATAGAACTATTGATGTAGTATCATCCTTTAAATCATTGTTTTAATAAGTACATGATTTAAATATGTATCTTCCTCTCTACTGTAGTAATTAATAAAACACAAAATATTGAGGTGTCAAATACTTGAGATTCAAAAAAAGAAAAAAAAAAAGAATAAAGTTATACTCTTTCGTTTCATTCTTATTTTTTTTAATTTTGTGTGTGAGTGTGATAAAATTTATTACAACAAAAACAATAGCAAGAACAAGAGAGATATAAAAGTGTAACAAATAAAAATTGTAGCAACTATGTACATAATTGAATCAATTTTGTTTTCCAAGAGAGAGAAAGGGAAAAAGATGGTATAAAAAGATAAAAAAAAAGAGTAAAACAACCCGACCCGTGTGTACGAAAAGAGAAGTCAATAATTAAGTTTATACGGGTATAACCATGATTGAAAAAACATATGCATAAAGAGAAGACAAAATGTTAAAATGTGTAACAAAAAAAAAAAAAAAAAATGGTTGTTTTTGTTGGCATTATACCAATTTACATGATAAAGAAGGTGTGTAATCGTATTGTTTCATTAAAAAAACTAGACTAAACTTACACATATTTTAATGCGTAGTAAAAAGACATACGATTGATCTTTACGACGAAATAAATACTTTTCGAAATCATTTTTTCTATTAGATAACATGAATAATGGCTAACGAAAATAAATCTCACGTAAACACTGTATAATGATGTATTGAAAGATTATCGTAACCAATTTCACTAAGCTGCTAATAGCGTACACAAAGAGTACGAATATTCTTGACCGTTTGACATATATATATATATATATATATACTTTTGATGCGCGTCTCAATAAGTTAGATTTCCTAATTCTCAGAGTTTTCGATATAACTTTGGTAAGGTGGGGGAAGTTTTATGGAGCAACTCTAAAAAAATTAGCTGATAACTAAGAAAAAAAAGAAAAAAGCTTTTCACTTTTTTTGAAGTAGTTTTTGTTTTAGTAGGAGTCAATTTTTCAAAATGAATGGAGTAATTTTTTTCAAACAAGGTGGGGGAATTTCCCCACCTTATCGAAAACACTGCTGATTCTTTCTCACTAAAATCTAATAGCGACTATATTCTCCAAGTAAAACTAAGTAAGCGAGCAAATCTAATCGCATCAGATTAGCTAGATTAAAAGATACATTTATCTAGAATACATGCCGATCAAAATTGTGTTCTAGTTGAATGAAGCTCCTACGCCGACTAACTTATCAAACAATTTTTTATCCAATTGATCAACAGCATCGAGTTTCACTTAGTTGAAGCTAGATTCGATCTAGCAGCAGACAGATGAATTTTTATAGATTCAAACTAGATAAATGTAACTTTATTGTGGATGAAAAAGCGTCTGCTTTTTTCTTGTATGCTTGGATCATCATATAGAAAACAGTGGACAAATGGCTTAGCTTCTAGTGATCATAGATGATATATTCAGAAAATTTCAACATTTATGGATTGAAAAATATTCTCGTACACGTAGGATAATAATCAATTTTGCCTTTTATTCAACAGTGGTCAGAAATTTTGAATAGCTTTTAACAATGAAAAGAAACGTCTTGATCAAGTTCACTATAAATGAGTAGCTACTGTTTTCTCATATTAACTCCTATGATACGATTTAGATCTGGCTAATAAATTTAAAGTTGTAAACAACTAGTTTTACCAGGCTATTACAATTTTAAAATAGCAATTTTTCAAGTTGTGTTTTCATACTTGATATAAACTATTAAAAATATATTATTATTGTCCAAAATGGGACACAAAAATGGTACAAAAAAAAATGTTAAAAATACTCTACAAACTGATTTTGCTCTTTATTTAAAATAATAAACTCCTTTCATACACACACACGCATTTCCCTTTGATATGTGTACAAAATGCATATATAGTTGATTTGTCAATTTTTTTTCTCCTCCTCTCTCTCTCTCTCTCTTTCTCTTTTCGAGTAATTGACACCTACCAGCATATTTAATAAAAATAATAATAAAAAGAAACGCAACTATTAGGTAATATTTATGTTCTCTGTTCTCTCTACACACATATATGAGATTATCGTAAGTAATATAACATATCATCAGTGTGTGTAACAGTTCAATAGAAGAAACGGAAAATGACAGACCAAGGATGATGTGCAATTTGACAAGGATGAGGAATGAATAAAAAAAAAAACTCTTCAAAATAATTTGAATGATACAACGATAAATTTAAAACTTCAATTACTTCTAATTTATATTTCGCTACCTGCAGTTTTAAGAACAAGTTGAACAAAAGTCTTATATCACAGACAAAATAAATTTCCTATGTAAATTCAAAATAAACTACTGTAAATACCGCTAGTTATATAACAGATGTGAAACATAAGTTGTGTCTGTCACTTCAACTAACATAAGACAATAGATATGATTGTTCTTTAAATGGCTTTCCTGAGAAATACGTTTTGAGCGAAATATTGTAGTTTATGTAATTTCATTCTAAAAACTCGACTCACATACCTACGAACTCTAGATGATTCAAGAATTTTGGATAAATCTAGACCACCCGGTATATATGTGAATGGTTTTGGACCATTGAGCCTGCTCAAACTTTTCATTAAGGCAGCTGGTATATTTGATAAATCCTACAAAATGTAATTGTAAATAGTTTGATCTACGTGAATCAACTATTATTTTACAATGAAGTATTTTGAGATGACATATTCTACTTACAGTCTGCTCAATGGATGTTTGCGATGAGAATATAGGTAGTCTTGTTTGATGGTTTCTTAATGTACTAGCAGTACTTGCTATTAGAGTTGCATTTGGCGAAGGAGCCATTGGGATGTATGAAGATTGAGTAGGTATGGATGGTGCTGAAGAAGGGAGATGAGGAGCGGCTGCGATTGGCTGCTGCTGCTGTGATGCTTCAGAACTGTACTGGTTATTTGATAGTGGATTAAAATTATATGTTTCAACCGCATTTTGCCACGAGTTATTAAAATTATTTGATTGATTGTAAGAACTCGCCGAATTATTATTTGGCGGTTGAGGATTTTGTATTTGTGGAGGTTGTCCACCGCTGTGAGGAGAGTAATTTGCGTATCCTTGTGGTTGTTGTGACGGTTTCCAAACGGTTAAAACTGATTGATTTGACGTCGACGAATAGGTATAGTGAATTCTGAATAAACAGTGAGAGAAAAGAATTTTAAGAAAGAATTATGTATGAAAACATTAAGAATAAAAGACGTACTTGTATACTGTTAGAAACATTGCATTTGTACATTGTTGAATCAGTTTTAAAGCATCTTGATGTTTCAAGTTTATAACATTATTTTCTCCTATTTCTAATAATGTATCGCCAGGATCGATTTTGCCATCTGCTGGTGAATTTGCAACTACCTGAATATAGAAAAATAGATTATATAGTTGTGATTAACTGTTAACCGTTTTTTTTATTTAATGAGCGTACGAAATTTTAAGGGTAAATAAAGTCAAGTTACCAAATACATTAGATTCTTGAATATAATTGTTTTTTTTGTTTTGCTAAACAACGCAAAGTGTACTGGAGTGGACGAGATTTCAGTTGAGTTCTGAAGTGTACAGCTGGAATTATTACATTGCAGTTGCAACATGTTTTCCAGTGCTTCTTAACAGATGCAAAATTTCTGACTCGTTGAAAAAATTCTCTAATAAGATCTCTTATTTTTTGAAATTCAATATGATTACGAAGTTAGATGCAATTTTTTATATATATTAATTAATTAGTTTTTCTTCGTACTATTTCATTATTTATTCTAAACGTTTCGATTGAAAGTTTAATCTTCTTCAGTGAATAACAAACATTAATTAAATTGATTAAAATTACATTAACAAAACAAAACGAATTGAACAGACAACTTTTTTTCAAACCTTTTTCCAAAAAACTATTTAAAAACATGGGGTTGTTTTTCCCCTTTGTTTGGAATAAATAAAGAAATAGTACGAAGAAAAAGTAATTAATTAATATATATAAAAAATAAGATCTGTGATCGAAAATTATTTTGCTGCTAGTCTCATATAAAACGTTAGTAAAATATTGAAACGAATCATTTCCATGAAATCAGCACAACATCTAAACAAACATAAATGTTTTATTAACCCTTTGGCGATGGGAAGCTCATATATAGGTTAATGTCGCAACACTCCTGTAACTCAAGAATCATAACAGCTAGTGACTTCTAATTTTGTGTGGTCATAGTTCTTACCAAATGCTGATCATCCACCAAGCGTGGGTCTCTTTTACTCGATGGTTTGAGAGATATAAGTGATTTATTTCTTTTCCGTAAAATATCAATAGCTCTTCATCTAAGAAAGATGAAAACTTTTTCTTTTTACCAAAATGTAGCCACGATTCTACTCTATCTACGATATGAATTTCGTGAGTTGGCAGTTAGTAGTCTGTGAAATACAGCTATTTTACGGGTGAGGTTTGCGGTTTTTTGTTGAAACTTCGAACTCCTTTTCGAAAAAAATTCACAACTCAGTCTAAGAGCATCATTTTGACTTCAAATTCGCGTCAAAGGCTCTACAGTGTCTGTAGATTATCTAGCCAAAGTATGAAGATTAACTATTGTGTGCTTCTGAAAAGTCATTGAGAACGAGCACTCACGATTGAAACATACGTGGAAGAGCGAGGGTGGTGAACTAAGGGTCGCTTTTTATACAGTTTTCATGACAAAACTGGGTCTAAAAACATACTTAAAATTCGATTTTTGAACAAACAAAATTTTATTGATAGTTTTCTCTCTAGTGGGAAGTCCGGACGTATATATACGTCTTCCGTCGCCAAAGGGTTAAAGCACAATTTGGTTTTCGTCCGCGTTCATCTACAATTGATGCGTCAGCTTATATAACTCATAAACTATTTCAACTATTAGATCGGTCGCTCAATTGGTGTTTCGTTTGAATTTTCTCTTACCTTCGATCGTATACCGTACCAAATTCTCCTTTCTAAAGTTTCGTGCGTCGGAACTAATTAGAAATTATTGTTGTGGTATAGTTCATATCTTGAGAGTAGAAGTCAGCAAGTAAAAATCAACAACTTTTTAGCAGGAATAGTATCTGTAACATCAGGTCTACCTCAAGGAAGCCTCTTAGGTCCCATTCTGTTTCTTCTTTTCATAAGCGATTTATCTGATATGTTAAGTGACTCAACGTTAACATCTATGTTTGAAGGTGATTTTTTCTGTTGCATACCTTTGGGAGTAAGTGATGATTTAAAGCATGTAAAGGATAGAATAAACAAAGTAGACGCCTGGAACTCTTCAGTGTAAGTTCAGTTAAATATCGATACTGGTGTAGCTGGTAGGTTGGTATTTGATAAGTCTCCGCTGTATCTTTCTCCTTTAACTGCTGTGTTAGTTTTGAAACGTGTTAGTGAAGTGAAGCTTTTAGATCTGGTGTTAAGTCATGATCTGATGATGAAGTGGACTAAGCATAGAGATAGCTAGTAAATATCGCCAGAGGTTAGGAGTCGCACATTCCGAGAAGCACACATTATCTGTATTTCATAATAAAAGAATTATGTATGTATGTATACATTCAATACGTGAGAAGTATTTATCTCAAACTATGTTATTTAAAGTTGGTTACTAAATTGTATCTGCATACGTTATGATGCAGTAGAATAGAATGATTGATAAAACATTTTTGCAAGAACTGCGATATCTTTGCAACCTACATCTGAGTATCCAACACAAAAAAATTTTAAAACCTTCCATAGAATTGAGTTGACGTTCTGCCTATTATAAACTTAAATTCATATGGATGGATGTAGGGTTGAAATACTGTATCAGATGCTTTAGAGCAAATAAATCCCTCTGTGCTTTTGAAGTAGCTATTTTCCAGCACATTGATTAACCTTAAACTTTTTTTTCTAATATGATACGTCATTAAATTGTCTACAGAAAAACATAGTGAACATTTCGTTGTATACTTTGACTAATATACAAGTATGGAGTAGATACTGCGGTTCAACGTTCTGATCCTTTTTTTAATTTTGCTCTTTGAGACATAAAAAGGAAAGATAGCCATCTAACAGTCTTTGAAAAACTCTAATTTATGTCTCTGCTGTTAAAAAGTCTAATTTTCAAAATCACAAACAGTTTGGTGAAAAATTCTTTTCGATTTTCGACTTTATCAAAAAAATGATCATTTTCAAACAGTCCTTTCAACATAGTAATTTTACCGAAAAGTTTTAGCCATTTTAGTAGAAGAAAAAATTATCGAACCTTTTCTACTTGCTTAATATGAAAGAGGTGTTACTTTTTATTATAATGAACAACACTCTGGCCAGTTTTGACCGAGTTATCAAAAAATATTACAGTAAAATTGCTGTGTTGAAAGGACTGTTTGAAAATTGAACGTTAAATCACAGTATCTACTCCATATTTGTATATTAGTCAAAGTATACAACGAAATGTTCACTATTTTTTTCTGTAGACAATTTAATGATGTATCATATTAGAAAAAAAAGTTTAAGGTTAACGTTGGAAAATAGCTACTTCAAAAGCACAGAGAAAGTCATTTGCTTTAAAGTACATGTTAGATACAAAGCTTTTTACTCGACATAACTCACATTAATTATGCGTAGTGGTTCATTATAATCAACACCACCTTGTAAACGAAAACCCCACAATACACTTGCATCCGGTCGAGATATAAATACTTTGCTCATTTAACAGCGAGTCCGAACAATTAATAACTCAACAGAAACAACAACATCTTCATATTTTTCTACCCGATTGCAGATATTAACAATATCAAGAAAAATCTTATAGAAAGGCACAAGAAAAGAGAAAACAAAAGAAATGGATAACTGATGTCTCTGCTGTTATCATATTTTTTTGTATAACAAAAAAACTATTTTTTCTTTACATCTACAAGTGAAACAAGCAGTTATTAGCATTTTTCTCATTGAACGGTTGTTGCCGAGATACTCCATGGTAAAAGGAAGCGAAGAAAGGATGAACCAGTTATCAATATACGTCACATTTTTGAAATTCTGTAATTATCATTGTCTCTCAAATATCCGTTATTTTCTATGATATAATTTTTTGGTGAAAAACAGAAAAGATTATTTAGTCACGAAAGATTTACGTGACACAAAGGCAAAACTCCACTAGGGAGATTCTAGTTAGATCGTGTGTATATAGATGTATTACATCGACGTCTTTGTCGTTAATAAACAAAGTTAAAATAATGACGACATATTTTTATATTTATATATTGTAATAAGAATTTAATCAATAGTAACTAATTAATTTAACTTTCTGATGCTGATAGATGTCTGAATAAGAAGACAAGAAAATGTCTAGCAATTGATGAAAAAAGTTCATGTTTAATATGTATGACTGTACTAAAGCATATACTAATTTCATACATAGATGTAAGCGTCTAAATTCAAACCAGACTTTGCGGATTTTAGACTATTTGAATATTTAGACTTGTGATCGCCGCCTAATTTAATGTCATTACTTACTGCTAAACAGTCTCTTCGTATCTTGATAGATAACCTTTGCTTTTGAACAGTAAATCGTATTTTTCTTACGTAGGTAATGCATTCACTATAATGACGGTAGAAGAGAAATCGTTTTTCTCTTTAATTTCTACAAGGGGTTAGGATATGAGAGGCGTGAGAGTGAGTTACTTGACAGTATTCCATTAGTCTTGTGAGCGTAAGGTGATTGGTTCCAAGTGAATGACATAATAAATAGATAAGCGAGAGTATATTGAATAAATACAAAAAGACGTTAAAAGCGATATAGATTAAAGTTGTGATGTAACGCAGAAGTCCAATGAACTTGTCGACATTCATTTTATTCTTAGCTTTTGTTTGGCAGCCAAACTTTGGCATACTGCTTTCCATTCTGTTATTCGTAGAACCATATCACCGGAACAAAAAAAATAAAGTTGGTTTAGAGTTGTTAAAAAGTGATTTTTCGTATTCAGCCCACTCGATAACCCAGAAGATTTTCTATTTTTGACTGGGGTACTTCCGAAAGTTTAAGAAAAATTTTGAAACAAAATGGCGCAAAAAGTTTTCCATGGAAAAATAATACTAATTTGAAAAGTTTTCCTAAACTTTCGGAAGTACCCCGAGCCAAAAATAGAAAATCTTCTGGGTTATCGAGTGTGCTGAATACGAAAAACCACTTTTCAGCAACTCTAAACGAACTTTATTTTTTTTCCGGTGATATGCATAGCGTTCTGCTATATTTCACAACGGAAACAGAGAATACAGGGAACCTTGTAAGTCCATTCCGAACGTAAATATTAGTATTTTTTGTCAATGTGAATAACTAATAAAACAAAGTATTTTGATAAGAACCTAAGAAAGGTTTGCGTTGTTGGAAAATTTGTGGCAATAACGCTCAGTTGATGTGGAATGTAGAACACGATTCATTGCAGAAAGAATTACTTATTTAAAAATACAGTGTTGAATCCATCTTATTCAATTTTAACAGTAATTTTAACATCTTCAGTATTACGAAGTACATCGTATTTCACAATATTAAAGTAAAAAGATTAGTTACAGCCGATATTAGTGCAAGAAACATGTTTCTACTATGTCGCTTCTGAATGTTAGAATAACATGCTACGTGGGAACCATAAAAAATCCGGATTAAATATAGCGATGTCTTGAAAAATCTGTGCAAAATGTACTCTAAAACTGTGAATTTTCGAAATCAATAATCACTAGCTTTGATAGTCAGATCTAACATTTCGTGATTTCTTAAATAAGACACATGAAGATCACCCTTGCGCTATGTTTCGATACTGAGCGAGCCAGGAGAAGACTTGTTCACATAGGTGCATACTGACATTCTTAGCTATTGAGGTTGTATAAAGATTGCAATGTTGATGGGCACCACGAATCCACATGGTTACGATAGTGTATGTAATCGCATACTATAGTCAACGAATATATTCTAATTCTCGCAAGAGTATTTGGTCTGAAATTTTCAAGCGAACAACGTATGACATACTATTGAACGCCAAAAAGAACATAATAAAAAACGATTTCATTCTCTCCTACCGTTATTTTGATGAATTCGCTACCTACTTAAGAAGAATAGGCGTTTAACTAACACAAAGTAAGTGGTGATATTAGGCGGCGATCCCAAGTATGAATATTCGAAAAGTCTAGTTCGAATTTAGCTCTAGACATCAATCATCTCACCAACGTTTCGAGTCCATAATTGTAATATACTCGAATATGGATCGATTATCGATATTATAGAGAATCCTCTTGAATCAGCCTATTTCTTTTTTGATGTTAAATATTTACTAACCTGAATAGCATTATTACGACCGGATTGATTGGATGGTCTAAGCTATCCGGCAATCCTTTTGTGATGGATATGAAAGCTTTTGAGATGAACAAGTTGCTGTTTTTTTTCACTGAAGAGTTTAAAATACGATGATTTATAATAATTTTAAACTTTTTTTATTTTTGGCCATTGGTTGCGTGAAAAACAGTTTATAAATGTTTCAATTGCTAGAAAATCTTGTAAAACTCTATCATGCGTTTAATGAATTTTATCTAGCGCTTTTCTTATTAATCATGATCGTTCAGATGATTATTGAGTTTGTTGAGCTTTTCTAGTGTTTGACTTTTTGAGCTTATAAAAACATATTGCGTCCTGAGAAAGGAAGAATACTTTGTCTTGAGGCTACTGTGACCAGCGTAGGATGCTGACAAGTGCTAGTTTCAACAGCCAAATATCTTCACTACAGCTGACAAGATCCTGGCATGATCATTCATCTTATTACTAGTCATCACCTGCAGCTCTGGTCAAAAGAATTAAGTTCGCCCTCCCATACACACTCACTAACCATGTACTAGCTTTCCCCATCACTAGCTCTTATTGTAACTTCAAGCCAAGTTGTCCAACATTCATGGTTTTTAGAGAAAAATTAGTCTACACCTATATATAACAAGATCCATGTAGATTCGTCTTTGTCTCGCTAAAGATGCATTTCTGTCTGAAACATGTGCGCAGTAAATGTGTACTCCTGCAGAAGAAGTTAATGATTTTGTTACATTCTAAACAAATAATATATTGAGTAACATTATTACTCAAAATAGGTGTTATTTGTTCGATAACGGTTGTTTCATAATCATTTTCTAAACTTTGAATTTCTTTAGGTACATTTTTCACAGTTTTTATATTATTTACTTACAACCTATTCTCACTTGCTGTGTTTTTAAGAACGGTGCAGTAGACTTGTAACCGGTCCGGTCGGTGTCCATTAGTTTTTACCGGTAGAAAGAAATTGTGTAAACCGACCGATTTTTCACCAGTTGAATTTTATGAGAGCAAGTTTAGTATTTTTATCAAAACAACAGACCGGTTTCGATTCAAAAGATCAGCTGTATTTTTTCTGTTCTTCTCAACTCCTTTTTTCTCTAATTAGATTTTTTTCCTCTTTAAAGAGCACAATCAGGCCGGTCTAAAAATTCGTACAAATTGAAGAAAAACAAATTTTTTTAAAACCATTGATTTCTACCGGTTAAAAAAATTAATCAACCGGTCGGTTTTTACCGGTTTTGAAAGTTTTTTTAAACCGGTTGGATCGGCCTAAAGTTTGGATTGACTGGATCGGTTTGAAAATTCTCAAGCGATTACAACTCTGCTGTGCAGACACGATCCAATAATGGAGCAAATGTCACTGACTATTAAATTTGCTTACGCTGTAGGATAAAATCTTTAACAAACGTCTTAATGCTCTACCCTACCAGGGCGTGGTAGGGTAGGATACGGTTACACTTTACATTCTCATACTCCCACGTGGGTTTCGCACCGATTCCAACGGTAAAGGAACGTTTAATTGTACTTTGGACTACTCTTCCAGATCCAGTTCATAATGATTTGAAAGATGATAATTTATTAGCAGAACAAACAAATCAAACAACAACAATACGATGGGGCTTCACTTGAGTGTCTCATTTGAATGCGTTGTATTTTAGTATGTATTTTTGTAGAGCTTCTCATTTAAGTGCATATTATTTGGGTGCATTTTCAATTACACCACTTAATCTTGAAAATATTTTGAAACTTCTAAACTGTTTCTGTTACCACTGTTTGTTATTAATTCTTAGCGGCTAGTAATCTTTTATTTCAAGTATTCCATTTCTACCAATACATTTAGTACAATCCACCTATAATGAAGTATTGTGTATACAACATAAAATGAAATCGTTTTATCATTATTTTTCAAACATCTGGTTCAATAGACAGTTTGATATTGAAGTATGGAATGTTTTTGGTCAAAATAGTCGAACAAATAATGATGTTGAATCATGGCATTCTAAACTGTTACGTCTACTATAAACACAACTGACTGTATGACGATTGATTGAAACATTTCAAGCACAATATGTCTTAGTTCAACAACATTATTGAATGTTTAGGTGTTGGAACATATATAGGTCGAAAAAAATTAAAATAGCAAAGACTCAATAGAACGGTACAACGTATAACAGATGATTTTAGTCTAGGTCATTAGGTTTTAGTCTAACTCAACCGTTAGATTATGCTTTGGTAGTTGAAGTTGTTTTGCTACTTCTAAAACTGTATAGCAGTTCTTCTTCTTAAAATGAAATTGCATTGTCAAAATAATGCTCACAAGCTTTTTGAAATTAAAATAAAAGATTCCCAGCCACTAAGAATTAATAACAAACTATGGTGACAGAAATAGTTTGAAGTTTCAAAACATTTTCAAGAATGAGTGGTGTAATTGAAAAAGCACCCAAATAAGACGCGCTAAAATAAGATGCGCTTAAATGAGACGCTTTAAAAAAGATACACACTCATATGCTATCCTCCCAATAAGACGAATAATTGTTTTTGCTCATCCAAGAGTAACAAGTAGGGCTTGTTCAATTCTTTAACTGTAAATGATAGATCATCACCGTGGTTTTATGGATATCTTTTAGAGAAACAATTTCCTGGATTAAATTGGGGTAGGCTAAAGCTACTGGAATTCCAAGATTTATCAATTCGTTTCAGTAATTCTGGCCCAACCTTTATGTTCTCTTAACCTTTTTTCTGTTCATGCATGATCGACTATATTTCTAACGGAGAACAGTTTACATCAGGTCTTTTTAATTGTAGAAATATTTTTTTCTTAGGAATATTTTCTTTTTATACAAATATTTCTACTTTTGTACATGTCTGACCGACAAAAAATAATTGATAATATAGTTGTCTTACAATATGTACTTTTTATCATCTACAACTATCTGCAAGTCATAAAGAGTGAGAGTACGCACGAGAATCCAGTCGTACCTGTTTTGAATGAACTTACGCTAAGAATAATAACAAACTTCACCAGATTTGATTTATAGCAGAGGTCCTCGGGGGACGGGATGGGATCAAAATCCTCTCCTACAGAAAAAGATTTTCATCCTATCCAGTTCCGTCCTATAACCAGTCAAAAAATTTTCATCCCGTTTCATCTCGTATCCTGAGCGTTCAAACAATTTTCGCCCCATCTCATGGGCACATTAAATTCTTTTCTAAGAAACTATTTCTTGTATGCAGAGTTTCTGTTGCAGACGATTACCAGACATTTGGGTGCGCGACACTCGGGCGCCGACATTTGGGCACAACGACACTCATATCTATCTGTAATCACTGTTTGTTTAATTTTCATCAATACTCACTCTCACCCAAATTCGTATCGGCGCCTTTGAACCTCAACTGTCGTTACGCCCAAATATCAGCGCGCAAGTGTCGGTATACCGCTGCAGACAATCGAGTTTGTTTCTTTTTCTAGTTTCGGCATATGAAACTATCAAAATCTGCTTTTTCACACTACATTGTATTACATTTATACATCACAACACTTGCATAGTAAAAAGATAAACTATCCCAGGGTTTCCGGTTGTTCTTAGGGATGGGAGGGGCTAAAACTTTCGTAGATAGTGGCTGGCGAAAAGAAGTTTTCGAAATTTTTGGCAGAAAGTTGTTGGTGGAAAAACGCCAAAAGTTTTGACAGAAAGCCCAAAAACTTTTTCATGGGGGGCCAACATCTCCCTCCTTGAACTATCCTCTAATATCCTCACCCTCACCCTCAAAGTACAAGCTATAACAAAGTAAGAAAACAACAAAAGATATCTGCCATTTTGAACTACTCATCGTTTAGAATTTTTTTCCCGTTCTGTATAGTCTGAAAACTTTCATTAGAGTCACACTACAGCCTTAATCACGATTAAAATTAATCATGATTAACAATCTGTAGTGGGACCACATCTACTTTTAATCATGGTTAACCCTATTTTCATCAAGATTAAATAAAGAATGTGACCGCGCTAATCATGATTAAAGGCTGATCGTGATTAAGAACAGCAAGCAAATATTGTAAACCGGTAAAAAAGCGATGAGTGAAAATTGAATGCTTTTGGAAGGCTGTTTGGTGTGGCTTTGCGACACGTAGCATTGGCCCCCTTCATAGAGCTGTAGTAGATCGTGGTACAATCTTTTAAGTATATCTCTACATGAAAGATGTCTTTCGAGAAATTTTTAAAATAATTTAACTTTTTTCGAGATAAAATCCATCTAATTTGCCTAGATAACTCGTCGAAAAATGCACTAATTTGATTGACCTTTAGTAGAACTGTCATCTTCATAATCTCCGATGATGTTTTTCAATTATTTTTAGTTTGCTCATCAATTTTACTACTCTAATTTAGTGAGCTTCGATCAGCATAGCAAAAATTTTGTCATGTATCAAACGTCGTTCTATCTATGATTGAGTTTTATATGACAAATTCAAGAACGAAAAAGAGAAGAATAAAAAACAGTCGACAAAGAATGAACTCACACAAAAAACACATGCTCTCAGGCACAAAAGTAAAAAAATTGTTAGAGAGACAGAAATCATATCCAAGAACGAAAGAACATAAAAAGAAGATCCAAATTTTTTCTTATTTTAATAAAAAAAAAAAGAAAAGAAAAGAAGATAAATCACGTTTTATATAACAGCCTAACAGAAAAACATGATAAATTACACTATAGTATAAAATAGAAATGAAATACAAAACAGACAGACAATTAATGTAGAAAAGAATATTATTTTTGATTCTATTAAGCAAAACAAAAAAAAGAAGAAAAATGAAAACACATAAATATAGGAAAAGGTGTAAATATGTGTTTTTTTTACTACACTATCCTGTTTAGATGTTTATTAGTTTTGAATATTAGAAATAACAACAAAAAAAGTTTTTTTAGAAAATCACAGTCACTTTTTTTGAAAGAAAGAGAAGAAGGAGGATTACAAATGTTAGATAGTTTTCTTGAATTAATCATCTCACTAATTGAAAATACATTATAGAAATAAGTTTTTAGGTTTTTTTAAAGATCAATGGAGTGCTAATGATTGAGCAGACAAAAATGTTATCTTTAGAATGTTTCAATCTTTTGAAAGTAAAAAAAAAACAGCAAAAGTGAAAGAATAAAAAATAAGCCAATTTTCTCGTGTATAAAGTTTGTCATATAAAGCACTGATCTAATAGCTTCAAACACTGTTCACTTTGAAAAAGAAGACGAAGAAGAAAAAAATGTGTAAAATCCCTATAAGTTCTATGTTTGATCATAAAAGAACCTAACAACTGTTCTAACTTTCTCATCAATAATTTCAATCATCTAGTTTATCATGTACATTAGAGTGTATACAAACTAAAGGTACAACTAAATGATAAAAAGTCTATAAATTTTGTCATTTTTCTCATTTATATAATTGCTACTAATGCAACAAAAATTTTAGTTTTTTATACATCATATACCTTTAGATATCTCAAATAGTAAATAAAACACTTTCTATTAAACAAAACTCGATATTATTTTATTTTGCTGTTTGTTTGTTCGACTAATAAGAATATATATGTACATTCATGCACATTCAAACTGAAAGAAAAAAGACAAACAAAAAAAAAAAAAAAAAAAAAAAATTATAACATACCCCCAAACAAATTTATTTTAAAGAAAAGAAGAAGAAAAAAAAATTGTGGAATAAATATAA